TTTGCTTAATTAAATTTGTTTAATTAATTAGGCATTTGTGACACCCTGTATCTTAAATAGATAGGGTTCTTTTGGTTTGATATTTAAAAATCCCTGGTGTAAAATTGGGTGTAAAATAAGTGTATGAAGAATGAGAATTGAAAAAAATCCAACTGGGCCAATTCTTATCCGAATTGTGCGTGCTACATTAAAAATTTTCCTAAAAACATCGAATGTCAGCATCCCAGGCCCTTATCACACCCACTGCTCATGTTTAAATGAAAGCGTACGGATGTAAATATCATAATTTTGATAAAATATCCATTAATTTATATTGTTTTTTGTTTTAATTACGGCCAACAATACAGAAAATTTCGGTTCACAAGGAGAGGCTTATCAATTGATACGGGCCAGTCGAAAATAAAAACCGAAAATTCGGTCTAATTTAACAGCATTTACCGGCCGATTTAACAATAAAAATGATTGTTAAATTATCAGCTTTTACGTTGGCTTAGGTCAGCTTTATAATTAGTTCGATATTCGATAACGATATTATTAAAATCTAAATTACCTAGTAAAAAATTACACCGAGGAAAGTCAGTTAAAAGATTGTCATTTCAAAAAAATCATATAGCTCCTAAAAAAGTTATTTTAGCTATTAATTTTTTTCTTGTAAGTATGAAAAAAAGAAATTTCAGGGCATAAAAGCTCATCTTTTCAAAACCATCCGTTTGTTTTAATAGGGTTCCTATTTAGCTCTTATAAGTTACTTTATTATCGTTAAAAGATGGAATTAAAATAAAATAGATGTTAGTCTTAAAAATGACTCTTTTAAATGATAAATAGCGCTGTTTAATAGTTAAACGGTTATCGTTTAATTTAAAGAATGTAACGGTCATTTTCATCCCCTCCTTCGACATGTCGCCAAGTGGAAAACAGAAGCGCGTCCCGCGGTTAGTTTTGTTCTAGTTTCTTGTTTCTAATCACTTAATGGTAACCTATATTTCAAAGTCGGGTTCGTGTCATTATTCGTTGAGGTTCTGTACTAACATAATTGGTAAGTATTTTTACATTTTATACATTTATAGGTATATTAATTTATAACTAGAGTATAATTTATCTCTACAGTTCTGGCCGGCACCACACGTTTCGTCATTCGAAAGCAAAAGGGAGAAGAGTGCATGTAACTATATCTACGACACAATGTCATACAAAGATAAACTTTACGGGGTTTAGAACATCTAATAGAAACATTTTAAGGTAAGTAGGTAGAGAAAGTAAAGGGATTATGAATTCTTTAATCAGTAAATACATATGTGCTGAACACGTTTTTTATATTATGAATAATTATATTAATATTTTCATTCCTTTATTGTAGGAACTGGGACCCTCTTCAAAGGAATACTACGCGTAATAACTCATTCACTGTAGTAAGTGATGGAAAAAAATGTTGAGCCTGATCAAGACCTGGTACCTATTTTGGAAGGAAGTAGTGTGGGCACGTTTGAAATCAAAACATCAAGTCCCTTGAATAAAGCAGAGGTCCCTCGAATTTTGATTGGAACGTTTTGATGATAAAGTTTGATTTATATACAAGTTTCTTTTAACAAAAATAAAGTGACATTTTAGATGTCAATTTAAATATAATATTGTTTTCATTTTATCTTTATACAAGTTTTTTTTAATAATAATAGCGGACAATTTAATCATTAATGGTAATCCTTTAAAACTAAAACAGGCATCATTTTGTTCATATACAAGTTTCTTTTAATCACAAGATAGTCAGATTTCCCCAATATTGGATGCCAATATATTCATAAAATGATAACATTATACCGATTAAATGTTAATCATTTAAACATTACAAGAAAAACCAATAATCACAAAAATTACATAATTTCATTTTTAAATGACTGCTTGGCATTACAATACAAGTTTTTTGAAATAAAGTCCTGTATAGCAGTAAAACAGGAGCTTAGCTGGCGCCTATTCAATTCTGAAATCTGTTAATTGTTATACAATTTTGTATAACGGCTGCAAGATATTTTTCTCGGTGTAGCCTTGATATTATAAACTTGGCGATTTTAAAAAAATACAATTTTAGGTAGGTATTAAATTGCAGTATTAAAATAATTAACCGGCCTTTTTTCTCGCAGGGCAACATTGTTTATGATTTCGAAATAATTGTCAATACTCGTAAGATACATTATTATCATCATAAAAGTATCATTATTTTCTCGTAATTGAAATTAAATAGACACTTGCGAAAAACTTCCATTATGAAGCGTTACTTTTTTAACTATACATGTCGTAAAAAACGTATTAATTCATCGGGCGATTCGTATGTAAAATTATAACGCCGGCTATATTGAAAACATCACTTTTTATGTCAAAATCATTAATAAAAAGGATAATTTTTCGTAATTGCGGCTGTTCTAGGTGAAAACAATTAAAAAAACATTAACAGAATTCCGCAAATTCATTACGCCTTGATTAGAGTGGTCGAATAGCAATTTGCTTTTTTGCAATTAATTCCTTCAGAACCTCAAATGGTACTAATTTTAGTTCCGTAATTGCTCAAACGCTCGTTTTGCAATCGACCAAAGAACGTACAATTTTTACGACTAATAAATTTACATATTCGCCTAAAAACAACGCCAATTCAAGACGTTATCTACCGCAGGCTGGGCAGAAAAGTTTTAAAGCAATTTAACGTGCGAATTTTGTGCGAACTTCGCCGTGTATTATCGCACAATTGATGAAACGACAAATCGGTGAAAGTATCCTGATTGTTTTGCTAGACGGACGAACTCAGCATACTCGATTCGATTATCAAAATGGAATAAAATCACATACTTTGCGCTGATAGACGTGGAAAAATCCGATTCCTAATTTGTATACCGAGCGTTTGCTCGACACAATTTTCGATCGACGATAATAAAACGATACGCATTAAAGGTTCGTTGGTATTTCCTATTTAGCAGATTTTGTAGTGTACCTACGTTAAAGATGAATTGAATTTAACGTATATCACGTTAAAATAGATTAATTTTTTGCGTATTTTGAACAAAATAATAGTGCAATTACATTCATGCAAATCAATTATATCCACTTATCGAACTACATTAGAAAATCGGCAAACAAATTAATTTTAATTGGGCATTTAAACGCTATGTGCCGAATTTATTAACGAAATAAAGTAAAATTTAGCACAGTCCATTTATTTACGTTGAAACCGTTAAAATTGCCGTATCGTGTCCATTTCAAGGAAACATTGAAGTAGGTATATACGGTTTTTTGTTCCGGCAATAACGTAATTATCTTATTTGCCGCCAATTTAATGAAACCGATATTAACTTAGGTAATTGATATAATTAGGTCGCTGTATCGTTAATATTCGCGTCTTCTTCAATCATCTCCAAATTCAACTTTATTCTCGTAAAAAATCAAATGTATCGCGTAGAAATATGTCTATTAAAATTCTTTACAAATTTATAAACTTTAATTAAGTATTAATTATATTCAACGAAACGAAATCTTTCATTAACTTTTATTTCCACGTTTCTGTGTTTATAAAAGAGCCATTTAAATGGTAATGTGGAAACATAATATGTATTTAATCCGCGTTTACGCAGAGCGGCGTCAAAATGATTAATTTATTTTCCAAAACAACGATAAACATCTTAATTTCGAATAAAACAAAATAAAAATAATAAAAAGTATTATCCAGGTGTCTATTTAAACTATTTTCGTCGATTAAAATCGAGTGTAAAATTGGGGGAAACGGAGGTCCGATTAAAATGGATCAAAGTTGTCTGAGTCAATTTTTAGAATTTAAATAATAATAAGAATAATGACAAGTCGAGAGCTCGCAGAAGCAATTAAGTATGTTTCAGTGTCGCGCACGCCGCGGTTATAAATATTAATAGCCCGTTGCACAGAAGTATTGTTCTTCGAGTGTATACGAATTCGGGTGTGGCCAAATCGAGAATGAAATTTCGTTTCATTACGAAAACGTTTTATTATTATTGCCCGGTTGTATTTCGATACGCACGTTATTTCCTACTGGTTTTATGTGGGCTCGATATTTCTGCTTAAACGTGTCACCCTGTATGTTAATCGGAATTTCAGTTATACAGACTACATTTTTATGAAGTTCTAACTTACTATTTTAGACTATAAATTCGTAACTGTCAATTATTGACTGATTGATTGGTTGTTTGAAAAACATTTTTTTAGCTAATTACCGAAAAAATATTCGGAAAAATGAATGTTATTGGCCTATTTTCAGCAGGCCGCCTACTCGACGTATGATTTGCATATTCGAAAAATAATAATTAATAAATACCAAATAATAACACCGATTATTATTTGTTTATTGTGCCCCCGAGCTGAAATGATTTCGTTTAATTGATACACCGATTTACAAAAATTATTAATACTTAGCTACACAACCGATAAATTTTCCACGGTTTTTTAAAAAACACGATCAAGTTTATTATTTATTGCGTTGTAAAACGAAAGTATCATTCCACTCGACTTAAATCACTTATACAGCGTAAGCCCCTCTGTTACATTGAGGTTTAATCTACATTATACAGGGTGTACATTACAGTAAAAAACATCAAGTAGTCCTAATTTTTAAAAAGTCACTAGATTCACCAAGAACCCAAATAAAGAAACCACTATTTCCACTATAGGTAGTTCGTCTTCATTAAAATGAGCCAATCGTAAAAATAATGAATAAATTATGTTGACTAATAAATTAGTCATTCGTCTAGCTTATGAATAGAAAAACGGGAAAAGCGATTTTCTCGGTGATTTATTAAATGCAGAAAATGCGGTAGCAGGAATCAATTTAAATGCTAATGTTCAAACATCATCTCGTGCCCGGAACGGCCTTAAGAAAAGTGAACCTGGTATTCGAACGGGGCGCGGACCGACTGGTCAACTACCTCCGTTTTTAATCTCTCCCCAGCATATTTTGCATCGAATTAATGCGAATTTTTTTTCGTTTTCAGGAATGACCGGTTCTATATGTTGTCGACAATGGCTACCGTTACCTCCGGCATTATATCACCGAATCCCTATGGCTTGACCACAGGTAAGACCACTTCGATTTTTCCATTCGAAATAATCGCTTATAAATATAACAAGTCGCAAATCGACGTTGGGAAAATCTGGCTATCGAACCGATGGGAAATCGTCGCTTTTCCGTTACGGTCTAGTTGATCACTATTTTATCAACGCGAGATTCACAAGATTTGCGATTAGAAATAAACAATGCAATAGCGAAAACACGCCAGTAGCCAGCCAAATATTTCTAAATCGATATAAACTTGTTCTTTTTAACAATGCCAAAAACTTAGGGAAAACTATTTCTTCACTAAATTATCATATGTATCGTTGTCAAAGTATGTATTATACTCCGTTCGCCATCAGGAGATGATTATAGATAATAAAATTTTCTTCAATTAGTTACGATAATTGCGTCAATAAATAATTAAAATGTAGGCATTATTGAATTAATAATTTGATAAATAACTAACAAATACTAATAAGTAATAATTACCAGTAATAATTACTGGTAGTATATGGTGCCGATTCAGGCATCAATGAAAGCGATGTTTAATTTTATTGCATGTAATTAATTATTTTATTTTATCCCATATAAAGGTATCTAATTAATATTCCAGAAGTAGGACTATGATCTGTTTTCAAGTTACCTTATCTGGGATTAGAAAAGGGTTTCCTATTGTTAAATACCCTGTATACACAGTGACACTACTAAACATTACCTACTAATACACAACAGTTAAAAATTAATAGTATTTTTGGGATTATACGACTATTTCGTTGAGTAAAATTAGGCTTTATTACTGTCTCCTGATGGCGAACGGAGTATATTTGTCATGGCTAATTAGAGCACCTCGGGAGAAACATTTACAGGTCCGGACTGGAATTATTTCTAACATAATTAATCGGCATTTTTTCAACATTTAACAGTTAGCAATTAAAAGGACTCCCTTGGCGTTAGCGAATCCATAAAATCCAACGTAAACATTTCTATCGACAATCGGCCGTCTTCTAACGGTACAAATTAATATTCGTATGAATTTTTACGTAACGTGTTTACACAACCGGCCGATTTACAATTCCTCGACGTACTATATAATTACTGTACAAATATCGAATAAGTGAGCAAAGAAAAAAATAACGTACGCTCGTTGCGTTTAGGACCGTAATTAACGTTAAATTTTCGTTAAAATTATAAGTAAACAACTCGTCGAGGAAGTTGTAGTTTAATTCAAAGAGTCGTTTTGGTTGCGATGAAAGAGAGTTCTTTTACACTCCAACACTTGACTGTTTGAGAGATGAATTGTGTGTTAGACCAATTTAATGTAGGAAATATTTTCTAAACGTGGATTAAGTGAGCATCATAATTACGCATCTAACCTCGTATAATACCTAAAAAATAGCGATGTTGCCGCTTATGCAATATTATCAGAAGATGCTGTGTAAAGTTGAATGAAATATAAAGAAATCGAGCACCTGTTAGGAATGCGAAGTAGCTCTTTTGCAAACATTTTAAACGCTGATATTTATGTCCAAACAGCGAAATATGGCCGGCGAACATTCCCGTTCGGTCGTTCCATTTTTTCCCGCTGATCTCTCCGCGCATTTGTCAAAAATTCGCTCCGGTCCGGTACGGTTTTTGCTTTAAATATTTTCGGCAAATGAATACGACGCATCGGACGTGCCGTGCATGGTTTTTGGGCGAAAATTTAATAAAAACTGGTAAGAATTTGGAAGGCTAACTCGATGCGCAATTAAATTTTCGGGTTCCGAGAACCGAACGACGAACTGGAGAATATTTGGGAAATATTTTTCGGGTTTTTATTTTCAGAAAAAACTGTATATGACGAGGAGGTATATAGGACTTAGGCGGCTGGTTTTTTTTTGGTTTTCTTCTTCTTCGTTTTTCGCTTTTGATGACTTGCATATGTGCAGGATGTCGGCGAACCTTCAAATTCATTTCGCGATGCGTCGCGAATTTTAAATATTCGCCAAAATTACATAAAAAAACGGTTGTCTTAACGTTTTCCGAGAAGAGCGCGTAGAATAAATTATAATAAATTCGATACTCCGAAAAAAGGTACATATAATAAATATAGTTTTTTGGTGCATTACTGGAATCCGATCAGCGGCTTTATTTAAATCCGAGCGAACCATTCGAAAAGCGTTAATTGCATTTTTTCGTTAATTGGAAAAAATGGAAATATTCTATAAATGTAATTGCTTCAAACGATGCGATAAGAGCGGGAGACAGGCGTTAAAATTATTTATGTATGTATACGGAACCCGTTCCGGAGCCGCGCGCTCCGGAGATGCAGTAGAAAATGTCGTTTTCATTAACATATTTTTATGTCTGCCAAATAAAACCGACTGACATATTATTTTTTGCCTTCGAAAGGTTTGTATGGTATGATATTATACCTATGTTGGCCACTTTTAGCCATCAAAAATTCGTTAAAAATCGAATTCAGAGGTAGACTTTTAATACCTTTAAAGCTTAAAATAATCACTTTAAAAAGATTAAAGCTGAATTGTTATTGTTAAAATTTGGTGATTCTGTACAATTTCGAATATTTTAGCATATTTTATACTAAATCACATTTTAAATAATTCCGACCGTTTTGTTAAACATGCAGCTTATGTAGTTAAAAACGTAGAATTATTAAATAAAAGCAGTAATTCAAGGATTTACATACGCATTCGAAATTTTCGATGTTTTACGAGCGTCTCAATTTTTATGATAAATGATAGCAAAATTTCCAAGCCGAAACCAGACAAAATTATACTGGTTTTCGTGTCGTAAAATCCATATTATTATTCCGAAAATTTTATGAAATTGTTTACTTAAAAAAATAAAAATATTTTTTTAAATTAAAGACCATAATTTTAGTGGGACATAAAATATTAATTAATGTTTCATCTTTTTTTCCAAAAGAAAAAAATAATTTCTATTTATTTTTATTTATCCGACTCAACCGAAAATATCTATTAAAATACATATATTCAAATTAAATACACGAACCCAATCCAAACTCCCGCGGTCACTTAATTACCGCTTTTCCTACGCTCGCCTAATTGCCGATGCTCCTATGATCATTTAATTACTGATACACCTATGGTCACTTAATCACTAATTAATTAGCATATCATCTGTCTAACGACTTCGATTATAACATAATATCCACAAATACGCAGCTCCAACTTATAATCACTCTTTTAGTGTCTTCATTAACCAACTTATTTGTATAATTCTTATAATTATTGTTCATTTATGAGCCAGTTTTTATTGCCACATCTGTATATGGGTTTCCAGGCAAATTTTAATAGGTAATGAGGTTTAATAATGCGAATATAGGGATCATTATTTCGATAACATCACTCTCTTTTCGTTGTTTTAAATTTAGTTCTTTTGTAATCTTAACTCATAATTTGACTCAACTGCACCACAATTTGTTCCATTACAAATTATATTTCTCTGCGCTACTGATGGCATTTTATTTTTTCCATATAATGTATATTTTCACGGTCCATTCATAGGTCCATGGTATTTTCAATCTTTCTGTATATTTTCATGGTCCATGATAGTTCATGATGATCCATGATAATCCATTATTCATTCATAATGATCATTGATAGTTCATGATGATCTAAGATGGTCCATATGATGATCCATGATAGTTCATAATGGTCCATGATGGTCCTTGATCGATGATCTATGATGGTCCATGATAATCCATTATTAATTCATGACGATCCATGATAGTACACGATGGTCCCTGATGATCCATGATAGTTCATGATGGTCTATGATTGTTCATGATGATGTATGATGGTCCATGATAGTCCAATATGGTTCATACCAAAGGCTAAATAGAGATCTATCTAAATTGATTAATTTTCGTTTTGTTGCAGATCCGATAAAGATGTCGTCGGAGAACGTCGAGCAGTACGCGCGTTACCGTCGCGACGACGACCGCGAACCGTCCGATTCGAACGCGAACAGCAGCGATTCGGACCAGGACGCGTACGCGGCGTCGTCGCCGAAGGCCGACGATCTGCCCAAGCGGAACAAGAGGAAGAACTTCAAGCCGCGCTGCTCGAACGTCACCTATCCGACGAACAACGACGCCTACGACAACGAGGCGGCGCTCAATCTCAGCGAATTCGACAACGACAACGTGAACAACAACAACAACAACAACGCCAGGAGGAGGAAGACGGCGTCGACGCGGAAACTCGTCGTCGATCCGAGGTAATCAATTCGTGTATTCCTCTATCCTATTATACAACATTCTTCATGACGGTTTGGATTCTTCAGGTTCTGTCCGATGGATCTGAGCAAAGCGACTTACAGCGAATCGAACAGCGATTCGGAATTCAACGAGAACTATCCGAATTCGGACAACGACGACGAGACGAACGAGAACAGCAGCGAGAACGACTCGAAAATACCTCAGAGCTTCTCCATACATAATCTGTCGAAGCCGCACGTGCCCGATTTCGGCCAGACGGCCACCAACATCAGCCAGGAGCAGATGATGGAGATGCGCCAGTACGCCATGAACACCATGAGGGAGCTGCTGGGCATCTACGGCCTCACCTCGGATGTCTTCGAGAGCATATCGAGGCAGCTGCCCATGGGCGCCTTCAGCACCGGTGAGTTTTCTATATATGGATTATTCAATCTACTTACATGAATACACAAAGATAGGTGTAGATATATCTTCTTTTTTGGAGTTCTTGTGGTAGCCTTCACCACTCGTAACTTTCATAATTTTTGCTTGAATCTGATTAGATATATTTTTAAGTACCAATTCTATGCTTGATGTTATTAATGGTGTTGAACCAAATCTTGTGGTAATTATTTTTGCCAACCTACGAGGGATTCGTATACGATTTTACGAAACATTAATTGCCAACAATATAAATTACTCGCTTTCGACGATCTAATTTCGCCTCGCTAAATTAATTATTAGACGAATTTCGATCGTTGTATAGTTCCGATTTGTCTGCTAACCATTTTCGAATCATTGTGCGAGTTATATAAAAAATGATATTTGTTTTCTCCGCGATTCTCACAACGTCTTTTCCCGGCAATTACAACGAACTTTTACTTCGAGTGCCAATTAAACGAAAATAACTTTTACGCTAACCGACAACCGAAAATTATGCGAAACAGCTCCCAGCGACGAATAATTTATTTACAATATTATTACGCTCGTAACGTAACGCAAAGAGTTTCTTTTTGCCGAAAAACTAATTTTTAGCAGCGAGAGACGAGAGAAAGAATGGTGTCACATATTAGAACGTTTCTCGAATTCGTCCGTACGAGCCGGTAATGCCTGTAATTATAATAAATTACCGGCGATTTTTTTCACTTGCATTACTCTTCATCACAAACATTCCGGTGAAAGCCCGAAAGATCATAATTTATCAGGGCCGGATTTTGTACTTTACCCGGAAATTCACTTACAGACCATCGGAAATATCTAAAGACACAAGTATTTTGCTATTCTTGTACCTATAGAAACAAATTTTTGTGAGTTTACTTAATCGGAGATAATTTGACTTGAGGTAGTGATAGTGAAGAGTTTATTTCTCGATTAAAATGTTCTTCGCTGCATTAAAAACTCAGCGATCGCCCGAACGAGATAAAGTGCGCAAAGTAATTAGGAAAACGAGTTACTAATTTGAGTGGAAAAAACGCGGTGTGTCGTTCCGGTCCTGCGCGCACCTCCATCTACCTAGTTAATTTGTTCTTAAATTATTTATGAGAGTTTATCCCAAACAAAATCAAATTCTTTTCATATTAGAAATCCGGTTTTTTTCTTCGTTGTTATCTTTCATCCGAGTCGGTTTCGGGATCTATCTATCTCTAGACGGAGCGCATTCAAGCAGCGATTGTCAGTTTTTTAACGGCGTTCATTTGTCTACCGAAATTACAGTTGATTTGATTAAAATTGTTGTATGTATGAGTGCGAGTCGAAAATTTCTTGTCGCTTGTCTGCGACCCGTCGACGGATATAATAAATACAGAGTGGATGATAAAAACAAAAAAAAATTGTACCTCCAAGAAAATAATTCCACCGACGCCGCTGGGTCGATTCATGGTTTAAAAAACACGGAAAAATAGAATGATTGATGTAACGATTTATTTCTGTTGTAATGTAATATCCGAGCCATATGTAAATTCTGAAATAATTATTTTTGTGCTAACCGACCGAAATTAGACTTTGTAATTTTTTATTTTTTTTCGACCTTGCTCTTCGGGTTCGGGAAACTCGTTTTCGAAAGGTAAATTTGGAGTTTTCGGGTAAATTTCCTGGCGATCGATCAATCAAAATCGATTTCGAGATAATTAGCGTTTTAATTGTTCGAAGTGGTTTTTTCTTCGGTTTCGAATGTTTTTCATACACATTATGCCGAAACTACGAGTCAAGGCCGTTTAAATCAGAATTAATAGTCGCAATTAAATCAATTAATATACCTACTCGGAATATTATTAATCGCTTACGTTCACAATAGCTAATTTTGATTTTTTTTTAATTGTACAACAATTTTAAACGGCTTTTTGTTGGGCAAAATAAAATATTACATAGGTATATCAGAAACATTGTAACTACTTCGTGCTAAATAGTACGCGAAAACCGGCAATTACCGGCGTTTAATTGCCGATACAATGTCTTCATTTTATTTGAATTTATTCGGTACGTAGAGCCTCCTAGGTAACGTTTATACACATAAAATTCGAAAAAAACCAGTCGTAAATTTCACCTATAAAACTCAAATTTCTAACGACCGGCATTATCTCATATTTTGTCGTTCCTTTTTGGTAATTTACGCACAAGAATGTGGCACATTTTATTACTAATTTATATTGAGATTAATTATCAAAAAGGGGGCATACTAAATTAAAATTGACTACATCCGCTTCTTACTAATACCATTTTGTACCGATTTTGTACAGATTATCTACATTATAAATTTGTAGTTACCTAGGTATACTATACTTTAAGTGTATACTATGAGCTCTATTGGTGTGTATAAAGCACAATTAAACAGCCAGCGCGCTCGCCAAATTTAACACTATAGGACGAAACGCACACTCATTGATAATAATAATAAACGAAACGAACCTATCCGTATTGGCTGTAACGACAATGACGGGTATAATAATTATCATCAGATGATTCCAAATTCGGCGAGAAAAGTAATTTTCCTGCTCGCGTAGGAATTGAACGAGATGGATCGATCGTGCTCGCTGTATGCGTAAGCGATTTTTTCGACGGTTACGCTTCGAATTTGAGTTTAATTTAACGGGTAATTATTATTTAAAACACGCCTAGGTCGTTTCCTTTTTCGAAGAAATAAAAATGTCGGTTGTATTTTTTTTGGTAAGTTGAAGATCAGTTCGTGGGGCCATTGGCGTAGTTCAAAAAACTGAAGTATTTACTAGAATCTACTACTGCTAGTGTACTAGGCGGATTTTTTATCCATCTACAGACAGAGTGTAATAGCTAAAGGCACAATTACTTTTACAAATATATTACTTATTTTTTTATACACCTACGTGTTTATTGAGCATTCGTTAGATGCGCCTATGCGAATAGCGTTATTTGAATATACGAATTTTACAAATAGGTTAAAATTAAATGTAGGAAAAAGTGTATCTCGGATAATTACAAGCATTATATTTTTTTACAGTTACGATTACCCGAAGGCTACGAACTCGATTTGGTCAGAGCATTTGAATTTGACGTACCATTAACTGGTTTCTGAGCCGAAATCGTATCGGAAGGTTTTTTTTCTCGCGTTATTAGGATTTAAATATTGCTCTCAAAAAAACGGAAAATAATATTCGAAACTCGTTATGGCGACTGCGTGTGGCGCGATGCGGCTCGTTCCGTAGTGCACATTTGCCTTCTACGGGAAATTTACATTAAGCGAATTCAAATGGGATTCAAATCGAACCATTTCTTCGATAAAACTGTTCGGAAACTAATCGATTCCTTGATCCATTTCTCCCGATTTCCAAGTACAATCAATTTCTAAACGATAAATAAAGCGACGTTTGGACGATTTCGGACGGTCTAGACTAGACTTTTACCATTAATATTTATGGTTTCGGACGATCACGCATTCAGCGGTCTCGGAAATCGGCATTTAAATCATTAGAAATTCGTATTACGTCATCCCGCTGGAACATTTTGTGGAAGTTTCAATAAAATTATTAACTTCAGATAACACCCTGTATATGTTTTTGGTCATATAGCGCGCTAAGAAATTCTTCCATCTAACTCTCGAGTACTTGTCAAGTACGTATTAATTGAATAAAATTTCTCGAGTGGCTCTCTGATCGAAAACAGAAACGCAGAATTTAATAATACGAGTATATAGAGAGAAGAAAAAAAGAAACCTTTAAAACGAACGCTAGTACATCGTCGAGCCGATGTTTACTTAAACGTTTTATTATGAGAACCCGAGAAATGCGTGTGCATGGAATAGACGGGAAAAATGAAATATAAAACGGTTATTTTTTCGTTCTTCGATTTGAAGAAACACATGTTGACGTCCGCCTTCCAGTCGAATGGAAATTTTATTTTCGAGCGATGCTCGCTTTTCAGATTAAATTCGACGAAAAATTGGCGGAAATTACTTGAAAACAAAGGGCAAAATATCATTGAAATACTACAAGAATAAACCGCTTGAAATTTAGATATGTTTTTAACAAACACCCAAATTTTCTGCAATATTTATTCCACACAAAAAAATGACAAAACTTTTTAAATATGAGATAACTTATAGATGAAATATTCTTAGAATTGGTATACGAGTATACCTTGATTTTTTGATATCTTTAATAATCTTTAACTTCCTGAATATTGTTTGTATCACACTAAATGACCTTTGTATATACATTCAATAATGTATTCTTCGAACTTTACAAGGATTTTGACGAATCATTTTAAAAATACACAGTATGTCTATCTAAATAAAGTTGCATGAAGGGAGTAAAAAAATATCTTTACTTCAGCGACATTTTGTACATTATATTTTCTATTTTTAATAGATCAAACTTATTATTTCAACAAGCAGGACTTATCATTGTAAAATTAAAAATACCAATTTTTTCCTCTCGTTAATCTGTCGCTACAGGGACACAGTGTATATTTTTGCAAAACCTTCAAAATTTACTTGATGCACGTATAATAATAATGCTCATGCTCATGCCAGCCTGTACGGGACGCGAATTAATTACGATCCGAAGAGGAATTTCCGCGGCTCGAGCCACGGGTCTCTGCATACGTGGAGTATATTTTTCTTCCTCTCGACCGGCCATAGAGCGCGCGAGCCAAGTAATGCTTCAATAAATTCCGCTTATTCTCATTAGAGACCGTTTGGAAAAATCGCCGTCGAAACGAGCAGAAAAGATCTAAAGATCCGGACGGGCATTTGTCGCTAATGTTTTAATGTCGCCAACGACTGAATTATTTCCCGTGCGAATTAAATAGGTGTATAAAACGGTTTACGTCCGCGTGCGCCGTCACGATTTTACGAAATTTATTGCGTTTAGACGAGTTTTATGGATTTTGTTTTAGTAAAAGGCCGTTTTAATAATCGCTCTTGCAGCGATTTTACGAACGTCGCTCGCCAAA